AAACCACTGTATGTCGCTAAGTGAGGAGAGGGTGTAATTATATTTTAAACCTGATTCCTTTTTTTGCGTGCACATTCCTTCATTTGTTATCTGTTAGTGGTTCTGGGGACCATCTTCTCAATGCCTTGGTGTCCGACCAGGCCTCCTAGGTTGTAAAGGAAAGTTAACGATTAAAAACTATTAAGAAGAACATAAGAAAGTAAGAGTTACCCATCACCTTTTACGTCATGAGACAGAAATATCGGCAATCCTGCCAGAGTGAAAAAATTTCATAGGATGATAGAATCTGTCTGGACAGTTGGTAGTGCACTCAGCTCACACAGAGGTCTGTGGTTTGATCCCCAGTACGAGTGGAAACATTGGGCGTGTTTCCTTAAGATACTGTACCTGCTGTGTTCACCTAACAGTAAGTACCTGGGTGTTAATCAGCTTACACCTGCTGTCCCTGTTCATCTAGAGAGTAAAAAAAATCATACTACAGGCAGGGATAGAACCCACGGTCAGAGTCATAAAACTCCAAACCAATGTGTCAGCCACTGGGCCAGCTGGCTACAGTAAGATTCATTATGATTCTGGGAGTCATGATGACAGCTTTGCGGGAACTTGAGCTAGAGTTTGTTTTATGGCTCTCTGACCGCAGGTTCTATCTCCGCCCATGGTATGGTTTGTTTGCAATCATGCATTTATAATTTCATGAGACAACTATCAGTAACTAGGTACCTGGGTGTTAGTCACCTTGCACCTACTGTCCCTGTTTGCCTAGCAATAAGTAGGTACCAGGGTGTTAACCAGCTGGTGTGGGTCACATCCTGGGGACAAAATTAACCTAAGCTGCCAAAAATGCTTTGCATAAACAGGGGCTTTCTATGTACTATGTCACTGATGTCAGTTCTGGTCTGTATAAGTTTTATCATGTACTGGTAGTAGAAATAAAGATTATTGTTATTATTATTATTATTATTATTATTATTATTATTATTATTATTATTGCATACGCTTTTCACTCCCTCACCGTTCATGTTCCAATTATGCAGGCTGAATCTCCGACGAAACCGTTGAAACCATCCATGACTTGCCGTAAATGTTTCTGTCGATTCTTTGCCTTTGCGCGCCTTCAGAGTCTCAAAGATACTGCGTGCCTTGGCTTGGATAATTAAAAGGCTCATTGGCTTTTTTTTTTTCATCTGGTTGTCAAACCAGATCACCAGTAATTTCTCCATTTCATGAATGAGACCTTTCCGTTGCCTAGTTATTATGGCATTAAATCCTGCTGATGATTTTGCTGCCTCTTTCACTCTATCTTTATCTTTCAAGATAGTGGAAACAGTAGAATGCGCCAGGTTCAATTCACGGGCTATCACTTGCACTTTCTTACCAGCTTCAAATTCGTTTATAATTTTCATTTTCATCTCAAGATCAAGAACATTCCTTTGTTTCTTGGAGCATCCTTCAAGTGAAGTCAAGATCTTCCTTTTCGTCGACATCTTGTACTGGGGTTTGCACAATAAAGTAAAAATTTATGGACGAAATAGACGAAACTAAGAAAGGGTGATGCAAGATGGAGAGCCGGTCGTAAGTCCGCGTGGTCGTTGAACAGGTAGGTCGTTAAGTGAGGAGTACCTATAGTCATGATTGTCATAATAATAATAATCTTCGTAATTAAGCAGGAAATAATGTGCTGATTAGAAAGAAGTAAAGGGATAAACATTTTATTTTTTTTTTTTTTTGACATTGATGCATCTCAGTGAGACTGGCTGATCCTTGTGGGTTTAGTGCTCAGTTGAGAGTGTTATAATATAATCTCAGTAATAAAGCAGGAAATTGTGATAACTTGCTCATTAGAAAGAACAATAAAAAATTTTTTTTTTTTTTGGGGGGACAATGATGCATCTCTGTGAGACTCTGATGCCCTTGTGGATTTAGAGCTTAGTTGTAATTGTTGTAATAATAATAATCTCGGTGAGACCTTAGAAAGTTTAGATTGTACTTTAGGTTATGATAACTGATGAAGCAAAAATATCAAAACGACCACAATGGAAATAAGTCATTTTTGACTGACTTTTCTTGGGTTATCCTGGTGGGTAATTTACACATGTGTATGATAATTGTACTTACGTGTACCTGTACCTAAATAAGCTTACTTATTTATTCAAACACCACAATAGAAATAAGTCTCTGTATCTGACCTTTTTTTGGGTTACATTGGCGGGTAATTTACACTATGTATGATAATAGTACTTATGTATACCTGTACATAAATAATCTTACTAATACAAAAATTGTATAAAATTGTATTTAAATAAACTGACTTACCTATGCATGAACACAGACTGAGGAAACCGAACTTACGCTCTCTGGAAAATAATTAAGTTTAGGTACATGTACACATAAGTACAATAATCATACATAGTATAAATTACACACCAAGATACCCTCCCCCTCCCACTAAAGTAACTTAATTCCACTGTGAAAGATATGATTGAAATGTATAGTAAAAGGAAAACAGGAATAAATACAAATTTGGTGACGTTGGTTTGCTTAGATAACTATAGGGGATAAATGACTTAAGAAATCGTAATGACACGATTGCAAATAAACCATACCCCCGGCCGGGATTGAACCCGCGGTCATAGAGTCTCAAAACTCCAGCCCGTCGCGCTAACCACTAGACCAGCTAGCCACAATAAGATTCATCCAACTAGGTATATTTCTACACCATAGGAAAGTTAGCACAGGCACCTCTGTGACCACAAATGCAAGTTTTTACAGACGAATCTCCAGCTAGCGTGGCCGTGACGAACTCTAGCTCAAGTCCCTTCACTGCCGTCAACATGACTTACGAAATCGTAATGCAATCGTGTCATTACGATTTCTTAAGTCATGTTGACGGCAGTGAAGGGACTTGAGCTAGAGTTCGTCACGGCCACGCTAGCTGGAGATTCGTCTGTAAAAACTTGCATTTGTGGTCACAGAGGTGCCTGTGCTAACTTTCCTATGGTGTAGAAATATACCTAGTTGGATGAATCTTATTGTGGCTAGCTGGTCTAGTGGTTAGCGCGACGGGCTGGAGTTTTGAGACTCTATGACCGCGGGTTCAATCCCGGCCGGGGGTATGGTTTATAGGGGATAAAATAATTCGCAAATCAGAATACAAGCTAAGCAAATCAATGCAAAGATTTTTTGTAGGTACTGAACAATGGAACAGTTGTACCATCACAGTCACCAACTGGAAAAAAACTAGGTCAGGTACTGACTTCAGGTGTTCAGGTGTCTGTCCAGTTTCCACTTGAAGACAGCCAGGGGTCTATCGGTAATTCCCCCCTTATGTATGCTGAGAGGCAAATGAAAAATCATGGGCCCCTGACACTTATTGTGTTCTCTTAGTGTACTTGTGGTACCCCTGTTTTTCATTGGGGGAATGTTGCATCGCCTGCCGAGTCTTTTGCTTTCACAGGGAGTGATGTGCAGATTTAGGACCAATCCCTCTTGAATTTTCCAGGTGTATATTATCATTTATCTTTCTCACCTGCATTCCAAGGAGTACAGGTCAAGGGATTTCAACAACTTCCAGTAATTTAGGTGCTTGACTGTGCTTATATGTGCAGCGAATTTTCAATGTATATTTCCCAGGTTAGCAATTTCACCTTGAACAGCTTGACAAAGCTCCAGGAGTGTAAAATATTACCACAATAAAATATCACATTAGTTGTATCCGTGTCCATTTACCTAACATTTTGTCAGTAAATCTAGCATTAGAGCTCTGCTTGTAGGTTTCCGTCTTCAGTATATAATTTGTTCTTCATAAAATTCTGATATTTCTGCAATTTCAAATGTTAAAAATAGAAAATAAAAGCACTACAACACTGTACGTATACATAATACTGTACCATACACAATTTATACATATTGTTGGATAAATCACTAGCCTGAAATGTTACGTTCTTAGTCTGTGCTAGCAAGTCAGTAGCTGACTGAAGTCAGCATCATTAACACTGATATCAAGTGAATATTTTTTAACGTACCATTTGTGCAACATTTCTTCTAGACCCGGGTACTGTGCCAGTTTCATTCGCTTTCTAGCGCTCACTGGTGAACTGTTTCTTGTCTTGTTGCCTCCAAGCTTTCAAGTGTATGCGGTAAGTTTCTCCTTCGACTTTCAGATATTTAAGATGGTTTGTTTTTTCACTCCATATTCCTTGCATACTCGGGCCACCAAAATTCCAGATTCCTTTATCAGTTCAAGTTTCCGACTAACAGATAGAGTCGCTTTTTCTTAACAGAAGAACTTGCTTCAGATGCCATGGTTAATTACAGTGTACAGTGGAACCCCGAGTTTTGTCCCTAATCCGTTCCAGGAGCTAGAACTAAAGTCAAAACGGCCTGAAGTCGAAGCAATATTTTCCATAAGAAATACTATAATGTAAATCCAATTAATCCATTCCAGACCCACAAAAATATTCACAAAAAATATATTTTTTAAACAACTATAGTTTTACATACACACAACACAGATAAATACATATACAGTGGACCCCCAGATAACGATCAGCTCCCAACTCGACCAATTATGTAAGTTTATTTTTGTAAGTGCTTTTGTAGATGTATTTTTAGGGGTTTGAAAAGGACTAATCTAATTCACAATATTTCTTATGGGAACAAATTCGGTCTATAACGGCACCCAAACAGACTTCTGGATTGAAATAATATCGTTATGCGGGGGTCCACTGTACAGTGGTACCTCGGGATACAAACACCTCAAAACTCAAACAAGTATGTAAGTGCTTTTGTAAGTGTATTTTTGGGGGTCTGAAATGGATTAATCTAATTTACATTATTCCTTATGTGAACAAAATCGTTCGGTATCGGCACTCGGACAGCCTTCTGGGATGAATTAAGTTCGTATCCCGAGGTACCGCCGTACATATACGTAGTATACTTAAATTAGTAATACAACAGATAAATTAACATTTAAATAAACATTTAAAATAACATTTACTTACCTGTCATAGGCTTGTGTCCTGGCAGTGCCTTTTCCTCCAGCATCATGTAGGTCCTCTTTGGCATTTTCTTCAAAAAGAGGTCTGTTTCGTCACAACTGAACACTTGTTGGGGTTTTAATTTTTCAGCCTCTATGTACCCCTTAAAGTCCTGCACATATTTTTCAGCCGCTTTTTTGTCATAACTGGCAGCCTTACGATGCCTTATCACATTGTGTATGCCACTACGATTCTTAAATCTCTCAAACCAGCCTTTGCTGGCTTTAAATTCATTGACATCAGCACTAGTTTCAGGCATTTTCTTAATGAGATCCTCATGCAACTGCCTTGCCTTCTCACATATTATTGGCTGAGAAACACTATCTCCTGATGATTGTTTCTTGTCGATCCACACCAGCAACAGTCTCTCCACATATTCGAGTACTTGCGATCTCTGTTTTGAAAGTATACTTGCACCTTTTGCAACAACAGCTTCCTTGATTGCCTCTTTGTTGGCCAAGATAGTAGTGACGGTTGATTGGGGTTTCTTATATAACCTGGCCAGGTCGGAGACACGCAGTCCACTTTCGTATTTTGCGACGATCTCTTTCTTCAGTTCAATGGTACACCTCACCCTCTTTACCACAGGGTTGGCACTAGAAGCTTTCTTTGGTCCCATGGTGGCTTATTTAGCAGTTACAAGCACTAAAAACAATGAAATAATGCAAAATATATCACATGTATGCGTGGAATCATCCTCTCTGGCTTGTAAACAATGGCACACTGGCTGTACATGGAGTGTCCGGGCGGCTCGGGCTGCGCTGACACGTTTGGGATGAATGTCCTTAACCGAGTTCTTGGGTGTTAGCCAATATTTTGACGCAAAAATGTGGCGCTATCCAATTTTCTCATTAGCCAATGACGCTGTTACCCGAGGGTCCACTGTACCATTAAATGTAGTATGCTCCTTGCATAGCAACAAATTCGTTTACTGATGTGCCTTAGGAACAGAACTCCGTCGTTAAATGAGGAGAGGCTGTATTGCAATAAACAGAATAGAAGAAATCAGCTCTAATATACATTAGTATTTAGGTATGCATACTGGTCAGAGAGCCCATTGTAAATCTGAGCCATCAGTAAACAAGTACAGTACAGTGGAAACTCGGTTTTCGTATGATCTAGTTTGTATGTAAAACTATAGTAATTCTCTATAAAATGTATTTTTTGCTAATATTTTTGGGTGTCTGGAATGGATTAATTGGATTTACAATATTTCGTATGGGAAATATTGCTTCAGTTTTCGTACAATTCGGGTTTTCATCAGGCTTTTTCAAACGGATATGAAAACTACTGTATGTCACTAAGTGAAGAGAGGCTGTAATTATATTTTAAACCTGATTCCTTTTTTTGCGTGCACATTCCTTCATTTGTTATCTGTTAGTGGGTCTGGGGACCATCTTCTCAATGCCTTAGTGTCCGACCACGCCTCCTAGGTTGTAAAGGAAAATTAATGATTAGAAACTATTAAGAAGAATATAAGAAAGTAAGAGTTACCCATCACCTTTTACGTCATGAGACAGAAATATCGGCAATCCTGCCAGGGTGAAAAAATTTCATATGATGATAGAATCTCTCTTGTCTTAACTAAACCTAATGAAACACCACTACATCCCACTGACACAGCTCACAAGATAAACGACTTCTTCTCAACCATACGATCTAATCTCGCCAATAAAATCCCACATACTAATGCCCATGCCGGGGACTACCTAGATGGGAATTTCCCAAATTCCTTCTATCTTGCACCAACTGAGCCCTCGGAAGTCACCGAGATTATAAAGTCACTTAAAAACAACTCAGGGAATCTGTCTAATGTCCCACCATTACTGTACAAGCGAGCGGCCCATATCCTTTCGCATGCTATTTCATTACTTTTTAACAAGTCACTAGAAACTAGCACCTTCCCGGAACTACTCAAGATGGCAAGGGTTACACCAATACATAAAGGTGGTGACCCTACAGACTTAAACAACTATAGGCCAATATCAAACTTACCATTGCTATCCAAAATCTTTGAGAAACTCGTGCACAGGAGACTATATTCATTTATAACAGCACAAAACATACCAACCCCTGCCAATTTGGATTTAGGAAAAATAACAGCACTAATGATGCAATCATAAAAAATGCTAGATCTGCATTACACAGCATTGGAAAATAAGGAATATCCACTAGGAATTTTTATTGACCTAAGAAAAGCTTTTGACACAGTAGACCACGACATCCTACTCCACAAACTTGACCATTACGGTATAAGAGGCCATGCGCTTGCTTATTTCAAATCTTACCTTACTAATAGGTATCAGTATGTTACCATTAAAGACACAGCATCAACAACACGGCCACTTGATACTGGAGTTCCGCAGGGAAATGTCCTTGGTCCCCTGCTCTTCCTCATATACATCAATGATCTTCCAAATGTATCCCAACACCTGCAACCCATTCTCTTTGCTGACGACACGATTTATGTCATCTCTCACCCTAATCTTGCCACCCTCAACACCATTGTTAACGAGGAGCTGATCAAAATATCGACTTGGATGACAGCCAATAAACTTACGCTTAACACTGACAAAACCTACTATATTATGTTTGGTAGCAGAGCAGGAGATGCACAAATTAACATTAAGATCGACAACACTCTAATTACCAGACATAATGAGGGCAAATTCCTAGGCCTATACCTTGACAACAACCTGAATTTCAGCACCCATATCCAACACATAACCAAAAAAGTATCCAAAACAGTTGGGATCCTCTCCAAGATACGATACTAGGTGCCGCAAAATGCTCTTCTCACATTATACCACTCACTTATTTATCCATACCTCACCTATGCTATTTGTGCTTGGGGATCAACTGCAGCAACACACCTAAAGCCAATAATAACCCAACAAAAAGCTGCAGTAAGAATAATCACTAAATCCCATCCCTGGCAACACACCCCCCCACTCTTCATAGATCTAAACTTACTCCCTGTTCAGTACATCCACACTTACTACTGTGCAATCTACATCTACAGGACCTTAAACTCCAATATCAACCTTGACCTAAAACGCTTTCTTGATAGTTGTGACAGAACCCACAGGCATAACACCAGACACAAACATCTCTACGACATTCCCCATGTCCGATTAAACCTTTACAAAAATTCAATGTATGTTAAAGGCCCTAAAATCTGGAACACCCTACCTGAGAACTCTAGAACTGCAGACACATTCATCACCTTCAAAACTACCATTAGAAAACATCTTATCTCCCTGATAAACCCCATCAACTAACTACACGAATACCACCTGGTGGTTCACACTTACACTCACTCACCCATTTGACCATAAACAGAAATATTAATCTCAATCTTAAAATAATGAATCCTATGATACTCCAATACTGAAACTATGTACTGTGCCAAAACAAAAGCATTCACATTGCTAAACTCACAAACTAGTATTTAGTCACTTAGCCATAATACCAACTTACCTCATAATTTGTAATATTTTAAAATAAAGAATTAAACTAAGTCTGCCCGAAATGCCTAGCCATGCTAGGCGTTCTAGTGGTACACTCTGTAATCATTATTTAACTACATGTAAACCACATAACAACCAAATTCTGTAAATTCAACATTGTAATCTTTATAGAGAATAAACTTTGAAGTTGAAGTAGTGCACTCAGCTCACACAGTGGTTTGATCCCCAGTACAAATGGAAATATTGGGCGTGCTTCCTTAAGATGCTGTACCTGCTGTCTGTGTTCACCTAACAATAGGTACCTGGGTGTTAGTCAATTTACACCTGCTGTCCCTGTTCACCTAGTAGTAAATAGGTACCAGGGTGTTAGCTAACTGAAGTGGGTCACATCCTGGGGACAAAATTAACCTAAGTTGCCAGAAATGCTCTGCATAACTAGGGGCTTTCTATGTACGTACTATGTCACTGATGTCAGCTCTGGTTTGTATAAGTTGCATCATGTACTTGTAGAAATAAAGATTATTGTTGTTATTGTTATTATTATTATTATTATTATTATTATTATTATTATTATTTTTATTAATATTACTGCATACACTCTTCACTCCCTCACCATTCATGTTCCAATTATGCAGGCTGAATCTTCGACGAAACCATTGAAACCATCCATGGCTTGCCCTAACTGTTTCTGTCGATTCTTTGCCTTTGCATGCCTTCAGAGTCTCAAAGATAATGCGTGCCTTGGCTTGTATTATTAAAACGCTCATTGTTTTTTTTTTTCATCTGGTTGTCAAACCAGATCACCAGTAATTTCTCCATTTCATGAATGATGCCTTTCCATTGCCTAGTTATTATGGTTTTAAATCCTGACGATGCTTTTACTGCCTCTTTCACTCTATCTTTATCCTTCAAGATAGTGGAAACAGTAGAATGCGCCAGGTTCAATTCACAGGCTATCACTTGCACTTTCTTACCAGCTTCAAATTCATTTATGATCTTCATTTTCATCTCAAGATCAATTAGATTCCTTTGTTTCTTGGAGCATCCTTCACGTGAAGCCAAGATCTTCCTTTTCATCGACATCTTGTACTGGGGTTTGCACAATAAAGTACAAATTTATGATGCAAGATGGAGAGCTGGTTGTAAGTCCCCGTGGTCGTTGAACAGGTAGGTCGTTCAGTGAGGAGTATCTATAGTTGTGATTGTCGTAATAATAATAATCTTCGTAATTAAGCAGGAAATAACGTGCTGATTGTAAAGAAGTAAAGGGATAAATGGAAAAGACGTGGGCCGGACAACACCAGCGAACCACATCACAATTGAACAGTTGAACCACCACCGTTATATAGATGTTAATAATATATTATCATTAGCATTCTCTGTCTAGGTGCTCTGGATGTGTTTAATTTACCTTACTGTAATTACATATTTGTAGTTAGAAGAGCAAAGCTCTGCTTAGGTAAATGGACACAGGTTTAACTTTCATGGAGTATACCTGAAGGGTTCTGGGGGTCAATGCTGCAGCGGCCTGGTTCATAACCAGGCCTCCTGGTGGATCAGGGCCTGACAAACGAGGCTGTTACCCCTGGCTGCACGCAAACTGACATAGGAACCACAGCCCAGATGGTCAGGTACTGACTTCAGGTGTCTGTCCAGCTCCTCTTGAAGACAGCCAGGGGTCTATCGGTAATTCCCCCCCTTATGTATGCTGGGAGGCAAATGAACAATCATGGGCCCCTGACACTTACTGTGTTCTCTTAGTGTACTTGTGGTACCCCTGATTTTCATTGGGGGAATGTTGCATCGCCTGCCGAGTCTTTTGCTTTCACAGGGACGATGTGCAGATTTAGGAAGAATCCCTCTTGAATTTTCCAGGTGTATATTATCATTTATCTTTCTCACCTGCATTCCAAGGAGTACAGGTCAAGGGATTTCAACAACTTCCAGTAATTTAGGTGCTTGACTGTGCTTATACGTGCAGCAAACGTTCAATGCATATTTCCCAGGTCACCAATTTCACCTTGAACAGCTTGACAAAGCTCCAGGAGTGTAAAGCATTACCACAATAAAATGTCACATTAGTTGTATCCGTGTCCATTTACCTAACATTTTGTCAGTAAATCTAGCATTAGAGCTCTGCTTGTAGGTTTCTGTCTTCAGTATATACAGTGGACCCCCGCATAACGATATTAATCCGTTCCTGAGAGCTCACTGTTATGCGAAATTATCGTTATGCGAATGAATTTTCCCCATAAGAAATAATGGAAATCAAATTAATCCGTGCAAGACACCCCAAAGTATGAAAAAAAATTTTTTACCACATGAAATATTAATTTTAATGCACACAAACTGAAAAAGACATGCACAGTTACATGACACTTACCTTTATTGAAGATCTGGTGATGATTGATGGGATGGGAGGAGGAGAGAGTCTTAGTGTTTAGAAGGGGAATCCCCTTCCATTAAGACTTGAGGTGTCAAGTCCTTTTCTGGGGTTACTTCCCTTCTTCTTTTAATGCCACTAGGACCAGCTTCAGAGTCACTGGACTTCTGTCGCACAACATATCTGTCCATAGTGGCCTGTACCTCCCGTTCCTTTATGACTTTCCTAAAGTGGTTCACAACAGTGTCAGTGTATTAGTCACCAGCACGGCTTACAATAGCTGTGTGAGGGTGATTTTCATCAAAAAAGGTTTGCACTTTAAGCCACATTCCACACATTTCCTTAATCTTTTAAAGTAGGCAACTTCTTCAATTTCTCTCTCCCCTCCTCCAAAGCAGTTTCCTCAGGTCTGCCCTCTTGCTGTTCAAGATGATCTAGCAGCTCATCAGTGGTTAGTTCTTCATTGTCCTCCTCCACCAACTCTTCCACATCATCCCCACTAACCTCCAACCCCAAGGACTTTCCCAATGCCACAATGGATTCCTCAACTGGCATAGGATTCCCAGGGTTAGCCTC